GCCTATCATTGTCTAGCTCTTACTCTTATATTTAGCCCATTTTTATTAATCTATACTTTGCCACGTGGCTCATGGTTTATCGGTACCTTACATCTTCCTTGTCCTGGCATTCGCTCCTGCTGTCTCTCCCTTCCCTTCCTGTTTCCTCAATTCTCCTCTCTGTTAGTCCCGCCTATACTTCCTATCTGGCTATTAGCCAATCAGTGTTTATACAGAGCGATATCCACAGCACTTCCCCTTTTCTTCTTTTTAAAAAAGGAAGGTTTTAACTTTAACATAGGAAAATTACATATAAGAAAACAATTATCAAGCAAGAATTACAGTTACAATATTAAAGAAGATATTTTATCTATCTTATATTTGTGAGTTTAAGGTTTTATATCTAACTTATCTTTTACCATAACTAATGAAAATTGTAACTATCAATATTGGTGAAATTATTAAGGCCACTCCACGTAGTTAAAAGGGAGATTTATTTAATGGCATAACTTACAAATGAAGGGATATGTAGGTGGCAGGTTCTGGGAAAGACACAGCGCAGTCAGGAGGTGTTCTCTGGAGAACTCTCCTCAGTCTACCTCTAGCATCCAGGGTCTAAGAAGGAAGAGCTTGTGGTGCATCCCTATCTCGGGTCTTCTGGGCCCTCCCTTGGCCCCGCCTTATAGGCGGGATAGTTACTGAAGCCTCAGTGGGGGTTGGAACTTCCAGACCAAAGCTGGAATGGCTACCCACTACACTCCCCCTTTTTGTCTAAATAAGAAGGTTCTAACTTAATACAAGACTATATACAAAGGAATGGTTATCAAATATTGTCCAGGAACAATGAGGGATAATGACCTAGATAAGATGGAAGTACAATCAATGCGAACAATATCAAGCAAGAAACACATACTAAAATCTAGAGAAGTCTAGAGCATAGGTAAATGGTATGTTACAAAGATCATTCCAAAAGGTGTCCTATCCTAAAGAACCTGAATCTAATACTTAATATATTCTATCTAAAATATTATATATATATATATATATATATATATATATATATATATATATATATATATATATATATACTAAGTTGTAACTATAACTGCTAGTCTTCAATCCCATCAAAGACCTGAGAAGGAAAATAATGGTACCTGAAAAATGGTAGATGGATGCAAGCAACTTTCGGGAATCTTGCAAGAGTAGACCGAGACAGCTGGCAGTCTGGACAGTCACCTAATGTTTCTCAGCATTGCTGGTGTATTCAAATTGGCTACACGCCTAGAGTATCTGACAGACCATTTTTAGAAGCAGGAATTCTGAAAGACCATCTTACCCTGTCTTGGCAGAGTACAGTGGTTGCTTTCCTTGTGTCCCGCTTGTCCAGAAAGGACAGTATTCATACTATGTGCAGTCGAGGCAAGGGCAGTTCTTTGCCCAGTGGGCCATTTTGTGCCAAGAAGACAAACTTCTAAATGGAAATGTCTTAGAAGCCCAACATCCTCTCAGGATCAAATAGGTGCAGCCAGGAGCAATTGTGTTTCATGTCAACAGAATTCTAAGTTATTTAAATGCCATATTCTCTAGGTCTATGAAGTGTTTGAAGATTACCCGTCCATCTGACCTATGTATCTGTAAATCTGGATAACCTAACTAATGTAACTATAGAGATGACAAGCATAGGTGACTATAAATCTATAAGTCTTATCTACCGAAATAACCTAAGGACTAAGGCTTCATGTAAACAAGGTAAATAGTCTATAAGCAAATGTATGGTAAAGAACGATGACTTCAAAATTGTGACAATACACAAGATATTTATAACAGAGGTAGGAATATATAGTGCAATATACAATATGACAATATTGTTAAATATATATCAATATACAAGGAAGTTAGAGACATGAGAGAAAGAGGGTATAGGTCCTCCTTACGTCTATGTGAAGGCACTTGGGTAGATGTGACTCAGAAGGGGTGGACTGTTTTGGCCCAAGGCTTCCTTTCCCGTTGACGCTCTTTTCTACTGATTGCATCTATCTCTTAGGCTCAAAGAGTATCTGACCCAAGGTCCAGAATCATTTGTCACTGGGACACAGAGTGATGGAAGTTCTTCTGTAGATCTTTCCAAGCTAGGGTTCACTGTAGTTGCCAGATGTAAGATCATTCAAATATCTGCATGCATTCTGACCATTTTGTCCCCATACCTCATATATCCTGCCAGAGGAGGGTCTTAATGGCATATGTTAGAGCTTGAAGAATGAATCTGTAAAATTGGAAGGGAACAAAATAAAGAGCAGCTGCTTTTAAAGATCAACAAGACAATTCATACTACAATGTGAATTCAGTCTTCTCTGCTTGGCTAGATAGAGGTTTGTGAGCTTTGCTGTGAAAAGCTTCTGGTAAAGAGGAAGAAGGAGTTCTTGTCATTTCCTCCTGCTCAGTTACTTCAGTTGTTCATTCATGAGTGTCTTTAAAAACTGAATGTGTTAATAGAACTTAACTGGCCAACTTGATATTACAGAGTTTTACCAACCTGCTTCTAATATCAAAAAAGACAGATATATACATGCAAGTCTTTTACTTATCCCTGATGGATGATGTTGGAGGTGGTAAAGACTGGAGGTGTCTCAGACACAGAGATAACAGGGTGAGTCAACTTTCTACCCAGTATTTACAGGATCTACATGAGCTCTACATAAAGAAAAAAATCATTGAATGGCAAAAATAGTAAAGAATTTACTGGAAGCTATAATGCAGGATCAGCTAGATACATTACCAAGATGTGATTGAGGAATCATTAGGAGATACCCAACATGACAGGTTAGTTGGTGGGCCTTAGCCAAATTCTCAGGAAAGAAGCAGGAGGAACAGAGGCTACATATATATTTTAACAGTGATTGTTGATAAGGAATGTTCATTTTACCCATAGGTCAAGAAAACTAGAAGATCAAAGACACTTGTATTTAATCCTTGCTCAGTGGGAAAACTTTGGATCCTACTCCTAGAGAGCACATGGTGTTCAAGGTGCAAGTTCACACATTCAGCTCCTTCTCTGTTTGGTATTTTGTGTTCTTCCCAATTATCTCATCTTGTTTCTCAGTAGATCCTATTTAAAAAATCAGTATCCATAAGCTACAAACTCCTCTATCAAGGATTTACATGTTTCTATCATCACACTGAGGCTTCCATTTTTCCCTTTTTTGATTTGATTTCCAGATTATGTGCAATTTGGGTCAGGTTTACAGAGAACAGTACCAACTGAAGCATCCAAGCCATTGCAAAAAGAATCAACCTACAGGGTTAATGGTTTCTCTATATCTGTGTTCAGAAAAGCTATTAGAGTGCTAATGGAAAATTGTGATTATCACTGATGAGTAGAAAGTCCCCCATTGAGGTGGGAAACATTATCTCATTGAGGAAGACACACTATGCTACCATTGTACCAAGGTTCTCTCAACAGAATTATTTCTCTGGGCCTTTTGGTTATTCAGCATCATTCTCATGGATGGTTACACCTTACAAATGTTATCAGAACACTGCTTATTAGGATGGCACTGTATTTGGTACTTCACAGGAAATACGGAAGTCATTGACCTCCACAGGTAAGGTGGCCTTTTAAATTCTTTTATATGAATAAGAAACACAGAACAGATATCTGTGGGTCTAAGTCTATTCAAATCACACTTATTAGAATAAATATAGTAATACTCTGCAGAGGATGGTTGAAGTCCTGACTGAATTATGCTGTTACAATGGGCAGGGCCATGACAAGGACCTCAATGCCTCAGACCCATGGAAGTGGCAAAGCTTTCCCTTTGTGCAGAGAGGAGGTCTGACCTTTTTTATCTAAAGCCAGTGCAAGTAGAACTATGTAGCACAGCTCCCTTGTCCCTAATGTTGAAAGCCTGAGATTACTACAGGACTGTGATGTCCCACCCAAACTAGATAACCCTTCCCCACCTCATGCTGTATATAATAACTGTACTGAGTTTCTGGATTACAAAGTTGGTTCCCTCCATCAGAATAAGCACAACCCACCCAGTTACAGATTTTCTATACAAGTGTCTGTTGTTTCTTCAGTTTCTGTCATTTCTTTATTCCTGAGTCACCCAAGTAAGGTTTCCAGGACTCAGCCATGATGAACACCACAATACAGACCACTAGATTTGCGATGGTAGCTTGTTAAGAAACAGAAGCAGAAAACTCTTGGTCTTCCAAACAAAAATGGCAAGAAAGGATTATTGTTTATCTTTAGAACCCAATTAAGGTCTGAAAGGCCTTTTTTGACAAATACTAAACTACCCAGAATTCACCAGTGTAAAACTCCCATTTTATACTGTTTTTTATGAGTGAACACCATGGTTCTAAAACTTAGGGAATTGACTAATTCCAGGTAGGATTCCATGAGAATAAGTCACAAAAGATTTAGAGATCCTTATAGAAACAATGCATTTAAAATGGTCTTAATATGATGATTATGAGTGTTTCCCACAATAGAGATTGTTGGATGGCATTGGAGCCAAGTCCAGACCATTCTTCTCCATTGTCACCATTCTGAGTTCAATTGCTCCTTACTGCTTCATATACTTCATATTCCTTCATGACAAAAGAGATACTATACAGTATTCACAGAGTGTCCAGGTAGCCTGGTGAATAGTGAGGGGAAATGTATGGTGTTTCCAGTTATACTATGGATTTGTAAGTTTCCCTTCATGATGATGTTGTAAAATCTAATATAAATTTTATCTGCTCTGTTTGAAAAGTTCCTGGAATATGGACTGCCTATTTAGTTTGAATAATTTGATAATAACTATCAAAGTGCTGAGAAACATGATGGTGGGAATAATGCCACTTTAAATTTGTAAGGAAAACGGATTTTTATTTAGACACATCCTGAGGACATATTACAATAACAAATCAGGCCTCACAATGTTTATGAAGTATAAGATATGTTGTATATTTTGAGAAAATAGACATTTTTAATCACTATATGTAAGAGTAGACTTGAAATAGTCGCTTTTTCTACAGGAAGTTCAATTTCTAGAAATTATTTCATTACAATGTTATTCTTTTATCATGAGACAAATGGGTAATGATATTAATTGTAATATTGTAATGTGCATCAATAAGAGCAAGAGGACTGTTAAATGTGTTGATATTTACATTGAAATTAGGCTTCAACAGAACAGTACTGAAGTTGGAATAGGAGCAACTTTATGATTTGATGTTTCTGAATATCTTAGACATTATGATTGCACTTCTGGGGATCATTTATCTACTTTGTAATATCTAGACCTTAGGTACCTTCCTTAGTTTTGGATCAGGACAGTCCTGTAATTAATGTGGTAATGTAAACATGCTATTTACTCAGAAAGCCTTGTAATGTCTGATGGTGTCTAGGTTTGACTTGGGGCTTCAGATTTCCAACAGCTTCAACAACTCAACATCTCCTGTTGTCTCCGATGAGAATCCACCCTTTTCTTGAATCATCACAGTCTCAGAAGAAATAGTGTTGGTGTTAGCTATATCAAAAAATGGTGTGTGTAATAAGAAATGAATTATGTAAGAAATACTGCAAAAGTGTTGTGTCTATTGAGTTATCAGTGCTGCATTACCTAATTAAAATACAGACAATAGGTTTAATGTAGAAAGAATATAAAATGGAATTTCAAGAATATTTTGAAATTTGAGTTACCAAACATTTTAGAGTTTTAGAAAAACAAACTCATCCATCAATACTATTTACCTCCTCAATTTAAAAAATAAGACTGAGAAGCAAAGTACCATAGTATTTCACTTGTGCCTAGCACTAAAAGAAAGCTAAGAATAGCCAATAGGAATGGAAACTCGGGCTAGAAATGAGTGATTGATACGTGCCATTTCAGCATGCCTCTTGGTCTTCAGGATCAACACCATGGGTGTGAGTTTGTTACAATTACAGAATGCGTCAACACATTATTGCAAAATAGGGAAACATGGAGAAAGATTTTAAAAGGGGGAATTTGGGAAGGAAATATACGAAGTAATTGAAGCATGGAAGAGGGAGGGAGAGAGAATATCCAGAAAGAAAAGGTAAGATGAGAGAATTAAAGACATAGATAGATAGATAGATAGATAGATAGATAGATAGATAGATGATAGATAGGGTAATTGATAGATAGATATTAAATAAATAGGTGATAAATAGATGGATCGATGAAAGTGCCAGACATGTTCTGAATGAATTTTCAGTCATTCTGTGGGAATGCAGACTACAATAGGAATGGTAGAAACCAGTGTGGTTGCTCCTCAAAGAATTGTTCATATGACCTATCCTGCTCTGTAGACAGCATGGACAAATGACAATGTTTATTAAGAAAACTTTAAGTGCACAAATATTCTAGAGACTATGCATATTATCTTAAATTTGTGACAAATTAACATCAGTTGAAGAATATATAAATGAAACATATATTCATACAGTGAAATATTTTACATATAAAAAGAGGTGTTGATACATGCCATAGTGATAATGATTTTAAATTTATTAAATCCAGTGGAAAATCAATACATATACTGAAGTACATCATTTTAATTTTATGTAGGTAGCACTATAATGTTTTACTGAGATATACATGAGATAATAGCTTTTATCTCAAAGTGAGTATTTCAGTGCTTCTTGACATATTTGAAATGTTATATATACCTTCATTGATGATATCTGGTTACACATTTCCATTAATTCTAAACATGCCTCATATTTATGCTCCACGATTCTCCTTTGTCCATTTTGATGATCTGTATCTTACCTTATGGATTTTTGTGTTCTCAAAAACATGCTTAGAGAAAATTCCTCTTGAAGTCTTGTTATGATCAGTGGAAAATAAGAAGAAGATATTTGTAATGAAAATGCAGGTGCATATGCACTGTCATTGGGTTACTCCAGGAGAAGTTAATCCCCATTTGTGAGGATCAGGCAGCCATGGAAATCAAAGCATTGATGGTAATTATGCCTGCTGTGTTGTTTTGTTTTGGTGTGGGGAGGATGTAAGATAGATAACACTGAGATGTCCTCTCTATCCTGAGCAATTTACACATGCTCCTTCTGTCATTCCACAACAAATCCCCAACAGTGGTTCACAAACTTCAATGGGTATCAGAATAGTCCTAGGGTCTAGAGCACACTTCAATGATTGTCAGAATATACACAAGACCTAAAGTTCAACCAGACAAAATCCTAGCATGAAGGAAAGGAACTGTGCAAAAAGTCCCACCACTAGTCAGGAAGTTATTCACAGGTGATAGCTGCTTGGAGAGTGAAAATCAGATTTCTCCAATGGCGTGATACTGGGTACATCACATATAGTCTAAGACAGGCCACATGCTCAGGAATAACTGGCCAATATAAATCAGACTCTATGTTTTTAGTGACTATTTTTTTCTCTTTTTGAAAGAGGAAAGAACATGAAGTTACATTGGCATATAGAGAAAAGGGATCTGGAAGGAGCTGGGCAGTGGGAAATAATGTGACAAAATTATACTGTCTGATACTCACAGTGAATAAATTAATAGGAAGTCTGAAGAATGAGACAAGGAGGAGATAAATAGCATAGAGAACTGTGAGTAAAACAGTAAGAGCTAATACCTTTTATTTCTGCTTTTCAATTCCTCTAAAAAATATTACATGAATCTAAAATTTATTCTCCACTATATCTCCTATAGTTAGCAATTTCTTAGGTAGTGTACAGTTCAGAATAGATAGGTATCATATATTTTTTCCATGATCTGAGGAAGCTACCAAATGCAATAATCAATGGATAAATCAAATATGGTTTCTCTTGCCATGAGATATGATAGAACTTGAGAATATGAGGAAAATGTGACAATCATTGTTGTGGGGTAGCCTCTTAATGGTCCCACTTTTTAATACTGGTGCGATGGAAAATACCTTTCATTGGGACTCTTACGAGGAAAAACACTCAACCAAAATATAGTAGCCAAATATCTACAGTGACAAAAAGAAATGGTGGGTGCTAAGGTAGAGGAGGGAGAGAAGCGAATTATTGTTCAGTGTCCAGAGCTACTTCAAAAAGAAAATCCTTCTGAATATCTCTTTGTGGTGCTTGCAGAAACAATCAGTGTGCCCTAAGTCCAGCAGGATGTGTCCTGAAAATGGTAAATATAGAAACTTCCAGTTGTGTGTTACCTCAATGAAGAGTGACAGGCAAGATGGTGTTTCTAGATGGCAGCTCAATTCAATAGCCAGGAGAAAAACCAGAAAGTTTCATGAGACCCCTCACAGCACATTCATTCTTATTTCCTTTTATGGTTCAGCCTTGAACATCACTTTCCTCTTTGGGGGTCACTGTCTCCTAAAGATTCTTGTGAGATACAACTGTGTTACACACTGACAGGGAAACAGAGCATCCCAGGGTCTGTGTTCTTAAAGGATCTAACCATAGCTGTGGACAATACACAAAATAGAATGCACTAACTAACCACACAGCAAGGATGGTAACCAAAACTTCCCATTCTGAACTGTGAGGGTACAATACCATACAGCTCTTCCAGGAAACACAATCAGCAGGCAAAATGTCAGATATAATGTGATCTAAGGCCTACAGGATGGCTATCTAACTTCCTTTGACAAGGTCATCAAATTCAGATACTTGCTGTCAACTGAAGCAGCCCAGGCGCAACCTTCCAGCATCAGGCTGAAATCATATCTCAGAAAGAGCCTGAAGTCTCAGTGCCTGGAGGCCTAATCCAGTCACCAACACAGCCAATCAAATGGAGGGCTTGATTGAGGGGCGGGGACAGCTGTCTATATACTTGGGATTTGAAGCCTGAGTGAGGTGTGACTGGATCAGATCCTGGGTCTTCAGCAACCTCAGAAGAATTGAGTCTGTGTGGACTAAAGCAGCATAAGTCACCACAGGTGAGGCTCTGTCTGTGCCAAGGCAGAATGGGAAGTGATCCTGGAGGGGAGCCTTAAGAGACTCCATGGAGAATCAGGCAGATCCCCCTGAAGGAGAATACATTCTGAGGCTCAGCAACCCTTCTGTGTGTAGATGGAGGGTAGAGTGTGAGAAAGGCATAGAAGAATCCAGATCTCTCATCTGCCAGGTCTAGTTTTGTATAGGTTCCCTGTAAGTACAAGTCTGGGTCTGGCCACAGAGAGTGACAGAAGTTACTATGCATACCAGTAAGTAACCATCATTGTCACCTCCTGGGTAATAGAAATTGCTTTTTGCACATAATTCCTGGGTAAATCTGTTTTCAGTTGACCTGTGCAGATGTAGCAGACGGATGCATGTTCCTATCCAGGTCTTATGGTGAGTGTTGTTTTAGAGCCCAGCAAAACCTGAACCTCAAATTCCGTCAGAGGCTTGCTTTCATGCCTCACTTCCACTTGTTGGCCTGGCTACCTCTGGTTTTCCCATGTGACACCACTCTCATGGGGTAGTGTGTGGAGAGCTTGGTTCCATGGTCCCAAATGTAAGAAAGAAGAAATAATGCCTGTAATTTTTCCCACATTAGATGATGATGATGATGATGATGATGATGATGATGATGATGATGATGTTTTTCAAGACAGGGTTTCACTGTGTAGTCCTTGCTGTCCTGGGACTTGCTCTGTAGACCAGGCTGGCTTTGAACTCACAGAGATCTGCCTGCCTCTGACCCCTGAGTGCTGGGATTAAAGGCATGCACCACCACTGCCTGGACTTTCCCACACTCTTTATAGAAGACGTTTCTCAAAGTTTTCATTCAAGAATGGAGGGTGCAAGACAAGCCCATTATTCACTATGTATTAGAAAGGTATATGATGCCATGTGGTCCCAACTCTTGGGCTCACATTGAAATTTGGATCCGTTACCACATAACAGAAGTTTTGCTTGGTATAAATCATGAGTCAGTGATATCTTAAGTCCATGGATATATTTTGTTTGTTTGTTTGTTGTTGTTTTGAGTTTTTTTATTTGTCTGTCTGTCTGTTTGTTTGTTTTGCTTCTGGTCCTCAGTGTGTGTGGAGATCTTTCTTAAATAACATGAAGTACACTTGAAGTTTTCCCTGCTAGAATTCTGGGCATGTGTTCTTCATTTTGCATTGGAACTAATAATTATCAGTGGTTGGTTTATTTCAAACATATCCTAAGCCTTTCCCACAATCTTTCAAAAAGTATTTGGAAGACTATTTCAAAGAATATTATTGACCAGAGATGGATCAATTTGTTAGGAAGGAATAAGTAGACATTTTAAAAATATTGGTGTGGTCACATCTTCATTACTCTTTCCTCTCCAGGTCCTTGAGACATGATGCCTGCTGTCTTCCTGGTCATCCTGTGCTTTGGAGTAGCCTCAGGTGCTCCAGCACTTGATCCCAGTTTGGATGCTGAATGGCAAGAGTGGAAGATAAAATATGGAAAATCATACATCCTGGTTGGTAAACTGGAAACTGTCCAGAAGAACCCCAGAATGAATTATCATTGCTGCTGCAAGTATCTAGACACATTAGAGGTCATATACCACACCCTTCACTGAAACATTATCTAATCACATTAACTAATCACATTCAGTGTGAGAACAGGCCAGGGTGGCTGGATTCTCTTTTCCTCAGTACATGGAGAATGTGTGCTATCGTGTCCATAGCACCCTCTCTTTGACCTCTGTTCACTGCAGCAGCAAGTCTACTTGGTCAGAATTTTCCAGAGTTTAGTTAGAAAGAAATGCCATTTATTATGCTCATTTCCAGGAAGAAGAATCACAGAAGAGAGCAGTATGGGAAAAAAATATGAAGATGATCAAAATGCACAATGATGAGAGTGGCCTGGGGAAGCATGGCTTCACCATGGAAATGAATGCCTTTGGTGACATGGTGAGTGTGACATGGATTGCTTCACACTGTGTTTTCTTCAGTTCTTTACATGCAGTCTTTTTGTTTTGGGTGTTTTTTAATGTGGTTTGTTTGTTTTTGCTTTGTTTTTTTAATTAATGTTATTTTCCTGGAAGACTGCTAAGGAATACAGAAAACTGATGACTGATATTCCAGTTCCAGCTGCCATGACAGTGAAAAGTGTTCAGAAATCTCTAGGTAGTGAATTCCCCAGTTTTGTGGATTGGAGAAAGAAAGGCTATGTGACTCCTGTACGGAATCAGGTAAGACAGTGGCACATGCCCATATTCTGAAACCACTTTGAAGACAAAAATACTGGATGTCTATGTGTGTCTATTGAGTGTGGAGAGATGTGTAGTTCATTTCTTCTTCTATGAAAGCTTCATACATTTACACAATTGATATTTATCCTAGCAATTCACCTCTCTCTCTCGTCATCTACTAAATCTGTCTCTGGAATTTATTTCTTCTTTTGTTATCATTAATAACCCATAAAACCAGTAGGTCCTGCTCAAAAGTTCATGTGTGTGTGGCCATCAACTGGGACATGCACAAACTGCCAGCAGTCATGTCCTCTAGGAGAGTACCATCCCTCCCTAGGCATCTATCAATTTCTAGTACATTTTCATAAATTATTATGGACAGATAATAATTTTTGTTGCTGGGGTTGGTATTTGTTTGTGTATTGACAATCTTTACTTCCCTGCTCAGGGTAACTGTGGTTCTTGCTGGGCTTTTGCTGCAACTGGTGCCATAGAAGGACAGATGTTCTGGAAAACTGGCAACCTGACCCTTCTAAGTGTGCAAAACCTAGTAGACTGTTCTAAACCTCAAGGCAATAATGGCTGTAGTAAGGGTACTGCATACAATGCCTACAAGTATGTTTTGGACAATAAAGGTCTGGAGGCTGAGGCAACCTATCCATATGAGGCAAAAGTAAGTAGATTTTCTATACTACTGTCATTTCAGCCAGCTTCAGGCAAGGGGTAATTGCAGGATAATCCACTGTTTTCAGGACTCATATTGGAAGGCAGAATCGCTGCACACCATCAGTGGTCTCATTAGAGTATCAATCAGTCTTTGCACAGGTTTCTAATGCAGTAGTTTCCATATAGCTGTCCCTGCTTCTATGCACAGAGACTATGCGAACCATTTCACGTATAACGGAGATTTCTCCCTGGGAAAATTTCTTATGGACTTGAAAACCTATGAGGTGTCATTGAAGACATGAGAGTTGATTTTCAGTTCCAAATCTCCCAGTAACATTTCACTTCCTCAGATGACTTAAAACAGTCCAGACATGGGGGTGCTCAGCTGCAAAGTGCAGGGTTGTGGTTCTGATGCATGCTCCCCAGGAGGAGAGTGGAAGTAACTGAGCCTCTTATCTCTTTACCTTTTAAGGAGGGACCTTGCAGGTACCATCCTGAGAACTCCAGTGCTTATATCACAGATGTTGTGTACCTCCCAGCGAATGAGGTTTACCTACTGATTGCTGTAGCAAATATAGGGCCTATCTCTGCTGCAGTTGATGCTTCTCATGATTCTTTCAGGTTCTACAAAGGAGGTAAGCATATTTCCCTCTAGATATGAAAACAAGTGAAATCCCCATGTCATGCCATGTTCATGATATGCTGTATATCTATAAAATTATATGTGACTTTGGGTTTCTGGATTTTCCTCCCCACACAATAATACTGAGTTCTATCTTCAACTGATATGGCCCTCTCATGCAAGTACATCATATTATAAAATTTACTGTTTAGCTTATTTTAAAACCATCCTCAATTTGGTGGGTGTTTTAGATTTTTATGGAAACTGTACATCTGAAATCAAATTCTTAATAAGCCTCTTGAATTGAGTAATTTCAGTTCAGTGAGTTTTACTTGGCTTGAGCTTCTAGTTTAAAAACTGAAGATTCTAATTAGTTATCTTATATGCATCTAAGCAACTGTTTATCAACAAATCTATGCTTATTTTGGTTACTTCAGTTTTCTGTGAAAATATATATATATTAGTATTCTCAATAACAATTCATTTAACTCTTAAGTCTGTCTTAGCTTACATCAATTTCTGGGATCTTTGAAAATGCATCCCTATTGTTGGTGTCAGTGGTCACTCTCAGGCGTTCTGGCATCTCACATCAGCTTCTACTTTATTTCTCAGGTATTTATCATGAGCCAAAATGCAGCAGTTATTCTGTGAATCATGCAGTTCTGGTGGTTGGCTATGGAACTGAGGGAAATGAAACAGATGGTGAAAGCTACTGGATGATCAAGAACAGGTATAAACTGCCAAAAAAAATCTGTATTTGAAATTTTAGTGACTGGAGAGATGGTTCAGTGTTTAAGAGCACTGGGTACACTTCCAGAGGATTCACAAAGGGATTCTCTCTTGCAGTCAATATTTGAGTACACAGCCTACCTAGAAAACTTTGTCCTTCTTAAGTTGAACAAAGCCTGTTTTTATTTTCCCATGTACATGTATGAGGTATATGTACATGCATGTATGGATGCTTGCATGTCTATAAACACCTGTGTGTGCAAGTGTACATGTGTAGTGACTTAGTGTTAGTATCAGTTGTTTCTCAATCATTGTCCAAGTTCTATATTGAGGCAGTGCCTCTCATTGATAGAGTTCATTGGTGTGACTAGTCAGCTTGTTCCAGGTATGTCTGAGTCCATGTCCTGAGAACTTGCTCTAGGGACACTACAATGTTAATCTGGCTTTTAAATGACTCTTTACATTGATCTCCAGCCCTTAACCTCTGAGCTCCCCTACACCATAAACAACCTACTCACATGTCTTATCATAACATTTCCATTCTATCACTGGTTTCTTGGGTGTCAAAGTTATTTTGTGCCATTGTTTTTCTAAAATCTGACACGTTTGTTAGAACTGAACTACCTTTTCTCTGCTGTGGTCTTCACAGTTCTGTGTGAGATGCCTCCTGGTACTCAGACCCTCAACTTTTTGTGACCCTTCTGTTAAGTTGGCTTCTTGCTAGTTATTGTAATAAATCAACTATTCATTGATCTTTCTACTAAATGAAAAACATGTTTCCTTTCAGCTGGGGTGAAGACTGGGGCATAGATGGCTATATGAAGATTGCCAAAGACCGCAACAACCACTGTGCAATTGCTTCATACGCTGCCTACCCCGACATATTCTGAGCTGCCTGGTGGCCACAGGGAAGATTGGCAGAGAAAGTATCCAGTGGAGTGCCTTCCACTTCACAGTGATCAGCTTGTGCTGAGTGTGTTCAGTAGTTTAATTCCTAAAGAGCTACATTGCAATGTAGATTCTGGGACGTGCTCACTGTCTTTCAGCATGGCACCTACTGTAACTGATGTGTCTTTATTACTCCTACAACTTGATTTTCAATATTAATGGTTATGCAAATGATGTCTTTAAAAATGTTAAATTCAAATATAATTTTTATCTTCTCTCTGTTTTTTGAAGTGATTTTTTTGTGGTCAAACATGTAATTTATCTTGAAGACAGCATTGTGTGTGGTGATGGCATTCTACGAGAAAGAATGAGTGGTTCTTGTGTGATGGTCTTTATTCTGTTTTGGATATGGTCTGCTTACAGGGTTCTATATACCAGCAAACTTTTTCTGAAAGACTTTATAAACATTTCTGGATTTGGTATTTTTTAACCAACATTAATTCACCCAGTTTAATTCTCTGTGAAGTGTAATTGTACAATGTACTGTTTCACCAAATTGGACTGAGCTGTAACTCTCCCTTATCTAGTACCTCAACCCTGTACTAGATTCCCAGTTACTGTGTCAAAGACATCAAGGTCACATGTTTGCAGTTACAGGACTGTGATTCAGGTGACACTTCCAGAATCTTCAGTGCTTCAACAGAGAGGCATTTCAATATAATCAGCCATAGTCAATGTCCTATTCTATTATGGATTACTGTTGTTAAATCTTGAACTTACTATCTGATGCACTGAAATTTGCCATAATAATGCCTATGGGCAAAGGTCAGTAAGTATGGAAAAATAGTGTATGTATGTACAAATTTACATATGTTCATATACAGTTTGTATATATGGGCACAAACACTGAGTGCTGTTCTTAGCCTATATCCCCAGCACACAATGAAACACTGGCCTATGCAGATTTGATTCCAGCTTCTTACAGCCTGTGTCTTCCACAGCCCTTCATTGGAATTAAACTTCATTAAATGGTGTGGGGGCTAAAGTGGTTTCTAAATTACTTTGCCTTTGAATTATATTTAATCCTTTTATTTAACTGAGGTATAATATCTGTCCTTCCTGGAGCAGAACTGAATTCAGTTTACATGTACAATATGCACTAAATTGACACAATCAGTGTAATTGCTGTTGAAATATACTCAAATACTAGACTTTCTGTGTGTCTTCAAAACCTTCCTGTAGACATCCAGAAGTTTCTAGTTACTTGTACTAGACTGTAGCAGTACAGGTGGCTAGAATATTCTCCCTTCCATTGGATTTACCAAACATCATCCACCTAATCTGGGTCTTCCTTTCCTTTTTCCTCCCCGATTTCCAGTGAACCCTCTCCCACTCCTATTTTGCTCTCTGCATCTGTATGTCTGGTCTTTTTACCTGGAGTGAGAACAGTGACGTTTCATTGTGGCTAGGATGGCATGCATAAGAGTTGCAGAAGATCAAGCCAGCTAAGACCCCAGAATGGATGGGAGAGGCTCAAATGAATTTCCAACCCTATCTGAGAAACTGTTAACCATTGATGTCTTATAGGGGAAGGGGGGTCATATTTGTTCAGAGAAGTGAGCCCTGAGAGGCTACCTATACTCCAAATGCAACAAGGGAACTCAGTACATAATAGAAACATTTTAAAAATTAGGATAACATATGAAGTCTGGAAGAAAAGGAGCTAGGGAAGACATGGCAAGGAGTTAGAGGAGATGGAATGGTGAATGAATTTAATCAAAACATTACATGTATGTATGACTATTAAAGAGAATCTTTTTTAAAATATGAAAAATCAATGAGACCAAAATTCATTCTTTGAAAAAATTAACAAAATTGGTAAATCTTTAGCCAAATTAAAGAGATTGAGAGATGACCCAAATTAATAAAATTGGAAACAAAAAGGAGATACCACAGCAGATATAAATAAAATCCAGAACAATCATAAGAATAAATTTTTTAAAATCTCTATTTCATTAAATGAAAAAACATGAAAGAAATGAATATATATCAAGATATAAGCCAAACATAAAACAAAAAATTATAAATGATTGAACAGAGCCAGCAATGAGATTGAAGCAGTAATAACTGTTTAACAAAAAGTAAATCTACCCCTCCACACAAAAACACTCAGATCCAGATGGACGCACTGCAGACTTTCCAAGAACTTTAAAGAATACTGTTATTACTCAAGTTATTACCAAGATAAAAACTTTTTACTTTTTCTTTTTTTAATTAAAATATAATTACATCGTTTCCTCTCTTCCCTTTACTCCCTCAACTACCATGTCCTTCACCCACTCACTCCCTCTCCAATTCAAAGCCCTAGCTCTTAATTGCCAAACTATTTATGAAGCTAATATTATCCTGGTACCAAGCCAGAACCAGATTCAACAACAACAGCAGCAGCAGCAAAACAATATTAGTCACAAAAATTCTAAAAGTTATTAATAAAATACTAGCAAATCTAATTCAAGGACATATCAAAAAGATCATTTATCATGACTAAGTTGTATTCATTCCAGAGATTCAAGAGTAGACCACTGTATGGAAATCAACAAATGTTACCAATCACATATATTAACATGAGAGAAATCACCAGACCTCTCTTTGACAAAAACCCAACATTTTATGATAAAGTAATGGTGAGTGTACACTTAAACACAATAAAGACCATATATATCATGCTTATAGTCAACATCATGCAAAACGAAAAATTTGGTTTCACTAAAATCAGGAACAAGACAGGGATGAATACTGTCTCCACTCCTATTCAATATAGTGGTTGAAATCTTAGCTAGAGCAGTAAGACAAGAGTAGGAAAAAAAGGAATATAAGGTATGTGTATCCGTGTATCCATATTGCATTATACAATGCTGGTTGTTGATGAGGTTCATAGGTCTCATAGCTAGGTAGGACATTAGGTTCCTCCTTCCTTTGGAAGCTTTCATGGAGCATTCTGGTTCCATGAAAGCTACTCCTCAGGGAGGGGCCATTCAGGTCAGTTCCAGATCATAAGTCTTTGGGACCATGTACATGGTGTCTTTAGCACCAAGGATTTATTTTGGTAATAACCAATGACTTTCTAATTGGACATAAGACCTGCTCAACAAGAGGTATGCCATGCCTGGTATTGAAAACCTAGGTAACTATTCAGTGCTAGTGAAATCCTGCTTATAGGAGAAGAATCTACAACCAATAATTTACAGCACAATCTCTGATAATAATATATAAACATTTGTCCTTATACTCACAGGTAAGTGTAGGTGTCACCCCTCATCAAAATAAATTTGTCGAGGCATGCATAGACCCATCTGATGCCACACAGCTTAAGAGGGTGAAAGACACCCATAGGGCAGTCTGATCCTCATGGTCTCGCCTGCCTGAAGGCATCCACAGGGCCATGATGATGAGCAAGTACATGGTGGAGAAATGGGAGAGAAAAAGAGGTGGAATGGTGCATGTACTGTGGCAGTTTTGAAGAGGCAAGGGTGGCTAAGAACGGACTGATGTTGGCAGCCTGCTTGCCACCCAGGACTGGGGAGACATCCAGGCCTGGGATGCTGCCTAGGGCCGTGTCTGTGTCCATGGTCCTACCCCAGCCAGGGTTTGTGTTGATGTCCATGACCCATGTTGTCACCAAGGCCACAGAGATCCTGGGATCTGGGCCACCACCTATGGCCATTTTGGTGTCTGAAGGTCTTGTTGCCACCAGGTCCATGTAGATCTGAGTGGCCTGTGCTGCTACCAGGGGACATGATGACATCCAGGCCCAGGCTGCTACCAGGAGCCACGTCTGGGTCCATGGCCCTGTAGCAGCCAGGATCTGTGTTGATGTCCATGGCTTCATTAACCATTGAAGGCCATGTGGATGACCGGGGTCTGGTCAGACACCTGAGCCTATGTTGGTGCCTGAGGACGATGCTGCAGAAAGGGCCATGCTAATCTGGATGGCCAGTACTACCATCCAGGGCCATGGTGACATCTGTGCCTGGGCTGTATTTAGGGCCATGTCTGGATCTGTGGCCCTACCGCATCTAGGGTCTGGGTTGATATCCATGGCTCCTGATACCATCAAAGGCCATGCAAATACTGGAGTCTAAGACATCACCTGAGGCATATCACAATGAATTATAGGCAACTGAGTAAAGCTGGGAGTGTAAGAGATGGTCCTCCCTGAGGAAGAACACACCGACTGGTTGCCCAGTACCAAAAGCTCAGTTCAAAAAACATAAATACAAGTAACATTATTTGGACTCAACAGGTTACATTTAGAATATATATGTGTAAACAAATACATGTGCACATGCATTAACAGTTAATGAAAAAAAGTCACAAATTTGAAGGAGAGTGGGCAGGGGTCTATAGGAGGGTGTGGAAGAAGGCAAGGGAAAGGAGGAATGTTGTAATTAGTTTACAATCTTAAAAGTAGCCAAAGAGGGATACAGATAGGAAAAGAAGACAAAGCAGTCCTGTTAACACAAAATATTATCCTATACATAACAGACTCAAAAGGTTCCACAAAATACTCTTAGAACTGATAAAGACATTTAGCAAAGTGCAAAAGATATAAAGTTAACACACACAAATCTCTAACCTCATGTATCAGTGGAAAACATGCTACAAAAGAAATCAAATAAATAACTCTATTTATAGTGGGCACAAAATATATAATACTTAGGAATAAATCTAATTAAGTAAATGAAAAACATCTACAGTGAAAACATGAAGAAATGACAAAGAACAATGAAGGAAGGCACCTGAAGATGGGAAAATCCTCCACGGCTGTGGATTGGAAGAATTAATGTGAAAATGTCCGTCCCAGCAGAAACATTCTGCAGATTCAAGTCAATCACAGTAAAAATTCCAGTTTTATTTTTCACAGATGTGTAAAACCACAACCAAAAACTTATATGGTTGCACAAAGAACCAAGATACCCAACGCTTGTAGACCAAAAGAATACTGTGACCAATATCACCCTACCTGATTTCAAGTTATATCACAGAGCCA